TGACACTCAGGACAATACTCTCTCTCAATTCTTCTTAGATTGTTTCAGCAACTGACCCCTCTTTTCTGCACAATCCATAAATGCAGGGAGCCTCCACATGCAATGTAGCACTTGGGAAAAAAAAAAAAAATCTAATAAACAGATTTGCTCCCAATTCCTATTTTCAAAAATGTGACTTAGACTTTAAGGAACATTTTAAACATTTTAATTCACAATATTTCACCTAACTATAAGCCTTGGCTATTCCACTTGCTCTTAGAAATCTTATCCTGTCTTTTCCCCTTTTGGCCAAAAAGAAATAAAGAAATAAATAAAATTAAAAAAAGAAATCTTATCCTGTCTAGTGGCTCCATTTATCAAATATATACATATACACTGGTAACTCCCAAATCTGTATTATCTGCCCAGATAGCTCTCCAGAAAGTCGGATTCATATTAACAGTTTACTCAATACCTCTACCTGGATTCTCCCTCCGGAAACCCAAAACTAAATAAAGTACATCCAAAGTTGACTGGACGTGGTGGCTCCCAGCACTCTGGAAGGCCAAGGTGGCCGTATCACTTGAGGTCAGGAGTTCAAGACCAGCCTGACCAACATGTTGAAACCCTGTTTCTACTAAAAACACAAAAATTAGCCAGGCATGGTGGTGGGCACCTGTAGTCCCAGCTACTTGGGAGGCCGAGGCAGGAGAATCACTTGAACCTGGGAGGCAGAGGTTGCAGTGAGCCAAGATCGCACCACTGCACTCCAGCCTGGGTGACAGAGCAAGACTCCATCTCATTAACTTCTCTCTCTCTACAACCCTCTCTTCCTCCTCTCTTCACACTGTTATCAAAGCAACCACCTACCCAGCTGTATGCTAAAACCTGCTGAAGTCATCCTCCACTCAGTCATTCCTTTCCCTTAATACCACAAACTCTTCATCATCATCATTAACAAAATTGGGTGGTATTATCAATATGCACATATCACATGTTAAGCAATGAGCTTTATATACTACTTCTGGTCATTTCAATAAGGTTGCAAGGTATGTCTCACACTCATTTTACTGCTAAAGAAGCCAAGCCTAAGTAACTGTCCTCCATTTATACAACCATGGCAGCACAGCCCTGGTGCCCTGACTTAAATCCAGTATGTGTGACACCAAAGCACACCTCTTTCCACCTCAAATACTGCCTCTCTACTTCAGCAAATGTGTCTCAACTCTAGCCCCTCCTCTGTCACCTCTACTGCCACAGCTTTGCTTCAAGGCCTTGCCAAGATTATCACAAGGACTCATACCTTTTCTCCACTCCAATCTAGCTTTTAAACTGCTATTGGAATGCTCTTCCTAAAGAGAGAGAACCCCAGTCTGTTTATTTCTTCCTTCGAAAACCCATTAATGGTTCCCCATCACCATGGAGCAAAACTCACACACGTCCACTCACAATCAGGCCCCCAACCCACCATGGGACCTGGGCCAGATCAACTGACTTCACTGTTTTCACAACAGCACCAGTTATAACTCTATGCTTTAGCATTTGCTGGGACTGTCTCTCATCATATCCCACATCCCAAAAACCTTCTGACAAGTTCTCACTCATCCATTGTTCAAGACCAAGTTCAACTGTCACCACCTCCATAAAGCCCTTCCAGAGTCATTCAGACAGAATTAATGGAGTCCTCCTCTGCATGCCCTATATCACTTTGTTCAGTTCACTCACAGAATTACCTGCTTAATGATTGTCTTACCTTTAAGACTGAATTTCTAGATTACTTTGCACATTCATGTTTTTGTATCTAGCCTAAAAACACACATTACAAGGACTACTGGAATGAATTTTCCAAATTAAAATAATTCTATACCTTAAAAGTTACAAATAAAGCGTGGCAATATGGCACTTTTTAAAAAATGTAATTGCTAAATGTGTTTCCAACTCGTATTTTAAAAAAATCTTTGTACAGTTAGACCCTAAAGAATTGTTAACATTTAATCCACAATACTTCACTATAGACTCCATGACAGTAAGGCCTGTTTGTGCCCTACAACACACAACAGACATTCAATGTTTGTTGAATAAATAAAAGCTCTTTGTTTAGCCTAAAACTAGCATCTTATTTGAAGAGCTAATAACTAAAATGATATCCTTTAAAAAATAATAATAATAGAGAAAAAAAAAAGGTGGGTTATCGGGGATCTAGGTAAGTCACAAACTTTCTCGCCTAAAAAAAATAGATTAGCATAGATGAGTAGTCCCCTATACACAGCACATAAACCTTAAGGTATCATATATCAGCTCTCAAACTCCATGAGTCTTATAAGTATTATAGGATGTCTCTGATAAATTATTAGTTTTTCCCTTATCTTTAAATCATCACACCTTTTCCTTAATAAATTCTACCTTGAGTGATTTTATCATCATTGAAATAATTGTGAAATACTCCTACTACCACTGAGGCATACCCAATTTAAAACTTCAATTTCAGGGCTAAATATACAAAAAATAATGGTGTGTAAAGAGAATATCATCTTAAACACAATAATCGCACAATTCCTTTTTTCCACTTAGAATCATAAAATCTTAGGGGAAGGAACGTAAAAGTTCTGTTTAACTTCCTACCCAACCAACAATCTATACAGAACCCTTGAGAGACACTGTTTGAATCTATACATGAATACTCAACTCTTACATTCTAGTCACCTTTAAAAAGTAAATCTTAGTGAATTTCTAGGCAGATGACTGAACATAATATGCTTAAGGCTTAAAACGGAGTATTTAGGTAGGAGCTAATGGAGAAAAACATCAGGTTTTTCTTTTCAATTTCTCAACCATTGGTAAAATAATGCTCAAAATCTCATGCAACTTCAAAGATAAAAAGTACACCAAGATCACTTTCAAACTGAAGTCAATTAAATACAATCTTACCAATTCAGTGAACTTCTCTGACTTGCATAATGACAGAATCAATGTAAAAGTGTAAGAGTTGTGTTTGACACAGTGCTGTTATTTACTAGAAAAAAAAGTCTCATTCCCCATAGGTGTAGGATAGGTCCAGACAGGTCATCTGCAATCTCTAGCAGGCATATTTTTTTTTTTTTTTTACTTGATTCCCTAAACCAAGACTCATCTCTAAATATCCAAGGTTCTCCTCACCTCCATAATTCTCCCTATGGAACAAACATATCTTTAATGGGAACCATGATATTTCTGCCACGGATGGTACACGATATGGAATCACTTGTTTGAAGACAGAATTAGTAGGGGTGTCTTCAACAAAACAGAAAATAAAAAGTTTAATAAGGAGAGTGACATGGAATTTACTCGCAAAGACAATTATTTTGTTTTCTCCAAATCAAAATCCTTTGATATATACTCTATATTTATTAAATAAACGACACCACTTGTAATGATTTAAATACCATCTCAAAGGTCAGACTAATTTGAAGCCTTTTAGAACCTAAAATCTACAGGTAAAACACATTAATTTATGGTCACTCGTGGAAGGTCAACGTTGCTACTCACATAAGCTATTTCTAAGGACCCCAAATGGATCCTCATCATAAATTTAAGCAGAAAAGTCCACTATAACGGCTACAAGCTTTCTGTGAAAGACACCATGTTTTATCTTTGCTTGCGCTTCAAGTGTTAGGACAAACGGACTTATCTCATTCCTAGCCTCCTTTCCTCCAAAACAAGCAAAACTGAAACAGCAAAAATTTTAGTCTGGTCCATATTAGCCCCTAAAAATCTTTCTTCCTGTAAACACTTCATAATAGGATAACAAGACGTAGTTTGCAAAGATCATCTGTACATCCTATGTAAAAAATAAAAACGCGTGGCACACCAAACTCAGATCCACTTCGGTGAATTATTCCCTTCAGGGCCCACATGTGTGCATTATGCAACAGCCAGCATTCCCGATTGTAATCCCTGTCTGTGATGCAATGACAAAATACAAATGGCTCCGGTATAATCCGCTCAGGTCCTAAGCAGTAATTCTCGAGGCGCCAACAAATTAAAACAAGAATTCCCAAATTCTCAGGAACTTTGAAAATGACAAAGTGTGTCACAGTTCTGTGAGAATCACAATGAAAACTTTCTCTTCTGGTAATTTTTTAGAAATGGGTTCCTCCAGTTCCAACCTCCCCCAAAATCCCGACATTCGTTTTCATTCACATTGGGAATGGCTCTCCCAGAGGGGGAAGGTGACCTGCATCAGGTGGTTCTCTTCGAATCCACCGGACACGATACCCACGCCGGTTCCCAGACACTGGAAAGCCAGTGAGATACTTCATCCTTTCTCCCCAAGGACAGTCATGGGAGTCAGTGTCATGGAGACCCCGAGCCATACACCACGCAGGGCTCAAGGCTCCCCCTCCTGAGGCCCAGGCCTCTTGAAAAATGGCATAATGGAGAGCTGAGAACAGAAGTAGGACGAAACGGCAACGACCTGCATTCTAGAGGAGGGAGACTCATACGGTACCTATCCCAAAAGTAGTTACAGGTAAAGGAGGGCGGTCAGAGCATCTCTGGAGGCCACCTGCTCGCGCGAACCGAGTCCAAACGGCGAAGTTCCACACCTCCCCGGGTCCGCGTCTCCCCAAGCCAAAGCAATCAGCGCGTACGCCGAGGATCCAGGTGGGGGGAGGGGCGGCGAGGGGAGGAGGCGGCCAGCCGCAGCTTGGAACCGGCCCGCGGCGGGGGCGAGAGGAGAAGACCCAAGAGCGGCGTCCACTCACACAAAATGGTGGCGCCGAGGCGGAGGCCGGCGCACCTGGGGGCGCCACACGCCCCGGCGGGCCCTCGCAGATCGCCGCCAGCTGGACGCGCGCCCTGGGCCCTAGCGGCCCGCACCGGTCTGCGCCAGGCCCGGCCCGCAGCGGCCGCCCACAGCCGGCGGACCGCGTCGCAGCTCGGTGTCCGCGGGGCCGGGGCCGGTGCCGGCGGGGACGCGGGGCCCGGCGCGGCCGCCTCGGCCTCACCCCGCGGTCGGCGCCCGGGATGGGGAGCGCACTCACCTCAGACGCGCCCCGGGTGCCGCTGGAGGAGCCCGAGGAAGGAGGCGGAGCCGCGCGAATGAATGGAGCCGGTGGCTGCTCGCTGGCCGGCCCCGGGCCGCACCGCTCGCGGCAGCCAAGGCGGGCGCGGCCACCTCCCGCTCTCCCGAACGCCCGGCTCCTCGTCGCGGGTCGGCCGCGGCCCACCGTGCCCTCCGCCGACGTCACGCACTCGCGCCGCAGCGCCTCCAGCCTTCGCTTCCGCGCCGCGCCCGCGCCCACCGCGAATCCCCCCGCCCGCCCGCGCTGCGCGGCCCCTCCTCGGCGCCGGGGACGCCGCCCTGCCTCCCTCCAGCCCCGGTGGTTAGACGCCGGCCCCGCCGGTGCGGGCTACGCCGACCCCGCGGCGCCACACGGCCCCTCGCCTCGCCACCGCGCCCCCTCTCTCCGTCCCGGCCGCCGTCACCCGGGAGCGCCCAGCTCAGGGCGATGGCCTGGTATTAAAGAGTGACCTTGGCTTAGATATAAAAATAGATGCGGTTAAGCCGCGGGGGCCACGACGCTGAATTTGCTTATTCCTTTAATGCCGACCTTCGCGGGATCCCGTTCGCACAGCCTGGCGGAGTTCTCCAGCCCCGGGCAGGCACTCCTGACATTTACCCAGGGTGGGCGCGGCCATCCTGGCCTCCGGACAGGGGTGCAGAGGGCGCGGGCGAGGACCACGGGCCTCCGCCCTGCCACCTCCATCCTAAACCTACTGCCACTTAGGAGCATGCCAGGAAGACTCGTGGGCTTCTTTCACAGTCTAGAGAAACCCTAGGGCCCGGACTTTCATCTTGAGAAGTCAGGGAAATACCAAATTCCTGCGTTGACCTTTTCTCTTTCACTGTCTAACCCGTACCGACTAACTCTGACCTAGAAAGACAGCAGGGTTCCATCCGGCTTTCCTCCCCTGCCTTTCCAAGCTCAATTCAACCGTCTTAGGGCCTCTGGCGCCTTTGCTAACAGCACACTCCTACTGTAAAAAATAGCCCTCCAGTATTTAAAACTTGAGGTTTTCTTTAAAGTAATGCATATTGTATCCTAAGTATACTTAATAAATGTATTGAAAAACAATATTGTATGTAAATATTGTCAAGAATTTCTTTTACTCATCCCAGAACCACAGCATTATTTTCAGCTCATCCAGATAAGTTTGAAATTACTTCTTGTATTCCTGGGAAATATTTAGCAATCACAATACCAACTTTCACGATTTTACTAATGATTAGCAAGATTAAAAAATATTTCAAGGCCGGGCGCGGTGGCTCAAGCCTGTAATCCCAGCACTTTGGGAGGCCGAGGCGGGTGGAACACGAGGTCAAGAGATCGAGACCATCCTGGTCAACATGGTGAAACCCCGTCTCTACTAAAAATGCAAAAAATTAGCTGGGCATGGTGGCGCATGTCTGTAATCCCAGCTACTCAGGAGGCTGAGGCAGGAGAATTGCCTGAACCCAGGAGGCGGAGGTTGCGGTGAGCCGAGATCGCGCCATTGCACTCCAGCCTGGGTAACAAGCGAAACTCGGTCTCAAAAAGAAAAAAAGAAAATATCTGTTGATATAGATATATTTGACCGTGATTTTTTTTTTTTACAAATAGACGTTTCTGCCATATAAGACTCTATTGTGTTCCATTTGTATAATATTTAATTAACCAAAATCTTGACTGTTACACATCATTTACCATTTTAATGAAAAGGAATTACATTTAATTGAGCAGGAATTTTGGATAGTTGGGTTCTATCTACAGCAGTAATGAATGAAATTATATGACTTGTATTTACATTTCTAGAGCTATTTGTAAGTAGGAGTCCCCAGGGTAATCCCAAATAATTGCTATTGTGGGAAGCTTTTTTTGGCTACTAGACTATGCGCTACAGATGTTGAAGCCTCAGGCCTTAGTGTAAAGCTAACCAATACAACTCGTTCATAATATTTGAAATTCCTAAGTGTGATTGACTCTTAGCTATTGTTTTAGAAGTGTGCGGATATTGTCCCTGAGTCAGGGAGGCCTGACTCCCAAATGTCTGTCTATTCTGGAAAGAGACAGAACTGCAATCACCCAACCCTATGAAAGAGAAGGTCCAAATTTTTTTATTTTATTTTTTTTGTTTGTTTGTTTTTTTGTTTTGTTTGTTTGTTTGGCTGTGGTTTCACTCCCACAGCCCAGGCAGGCTGGAAAGCTGCGATCTCGACTCACTGAAACCTCCGCCTCCCAAGCTTAAGTGATTCTCCGGCGACAGCCTCCGGAGACTACAGGTGCACACCACCGCCACTGACTAATTTTGTAAAGATGGGGTTTCGCCATGCTGCCCAGGCTGGTCCTGAACTCCTGAGCTCAAGCGATCCGCCCGCCTCGGCCTCCCCAAGTGCAGGGATTACAGGAGTGAGCCACCTCGTCCTGCCTGATTCTCTTTTCTCTACTTGCACCATGACGCTATTTTCGAGAGTTTTTGGTTGTTGTTGTTGTTGTTTTTTTTTTTTTTTTTTTTTTTTTTGAGACGGAGTTTCGCTCTTGTTACCCAGGCTGGAGTGCAATGGCACGATCTTGGCTCACCGCAACCTCCGCCTCCTGGGTTCAGGCAATTCTCCTGCCTCAGCCTCCTGAGTAGCTGGGATTACAGGCACCCGCCACCATGCCCAGCTAATTTTTTGTATTTTTAGTAGAGACGGGGTTTCACCATGTTGACCAGGATGGTCTCGATCTCTTGACCTCGTGAGCCACCCGCCTCAGCCTCCCAAAGTGCTGGGATTACAGGCTTGAGCCACCGCGCCCGGCCCGGTTTTTTCTTTTTAAATCACCATTGACATCCCTCTTCGGCGGAGATAAATTTTATCTTGGTGAGCATGAGGAAGGAGACCCCCTTCTCCGATCTTGTGCTTGGAGGAAAGGAGGAAGTAAAATTAAAGGTCAGTCAGTTGAGGTCAGTGGAAGGACCGGTTGGCGCTGCTGGCCAGGTCTAAAGGTTAAAGATTAAACTCCCTACTCCTAACCACAATCCTATCTACAGATGGGACATGGTATAGAGGAATTCTCCCCGGAAGGCATTGTTCTTGCTTAACTGCTCAGACCCCTACCTAGTCACCTCCCCCAAGCTTGCCTAATTGATCATGACCCTTTCATTTGTGCGCCTCTTACTGTAAACCTTTAAAAGGGCAGATTTTCTTTGTCTAGGAGCTCTGTTATTGAGGCCTTGAGCCAACCGCAGGTCCCAGCCGAAAAAAACTGCCATTCCTTCCCAGTTTGGTGTTCCTGCGGTTTGTTCCGGGCCGCTACTGCTTCAGGCAAAGAAAAACTAAAAAATGAGCCTTTAACAGTTTAGTATATGCTGAAAATTGTTACCACAATATTTTGAAATACGCTTTGAGGCTTTTGTCTGAATTTTTTTTAGAGTAAAAGGATTATTGCTTTCGTTTTTTCTTGTTGCAATGCTTGCTTTAATTATTACTTTGTTGTTAGCAAAGGAAACACGTTAATAGTTTGTTTTCACTGCATTTTTCCTCTATGTTTAAAGGGGAGTGGAACCAACCTTAAGTAAAAGAAGCTTGCCACAACCTTGGATTTTGAAGGTTACTAATACACATGACCCAGAAAACAGCTCTTTAGTTGTACTGGGAAAGAGGAATTCTTAATAGCTAAAATCATAGTTGATGTTTTTGACAGCTAACAAATTGCCAGGCACGCTACAGACTTATCTGTGGAAATTAATTCACTTAATCCTCTTACCAACCTTCCAGGTACATACTAATGTCACTCCCAGTTTACCTAAGAGGAGTCTTGAGACACACAGAGAAGCTAAGCAATTTGCCCATGGTCACTCAGATAGTGATCCTAGCATATTGGCTCAAGAGAACACTCCTTTAACCAGAATTCCATGCTGCCTTTGATGTGCACAAAATCCTATGCCATATGGTTCGAGTTTGCTTTCAAAGCCCTAAAACATTCCAAATATCCTATACTTTCAAGTTTAAATAGTTTCTTAGATCTAGGAGTATTTTCTTGGACATGAAGGGAAAATTAAACCCTTAATTAGAAAGAAAACTTGTAAAAAGCTTCCTCTGGTATATGCTAAGCAAAATTTCATAATCTGTTAATTTTTTAAAAGCACATTTTTCATTTTTACATCATTTAAGTGTAATTGCTCTCCAAATTTCCACCCCCGCGCAGTTAAAGGGCATAATTACAAGTTTTCATTCTGTTTATTTTTGGAAATAAATAAACACATTTATTTATTTGAATGGAAAAGACACATTTCTTCAGAAAGATTCATCATCATCTTTGACCCTCCAATAAGACAAAAATGGGTAGAATTAGAATCCATTATACATGTTTTAAATACATAAAATCACAGGTAGAACGTTTTAATAACTGAGTAGCCAAGGGATTTCTAGATTGAAACTATTAGCCAATCAGCTAACTAGTTAGCTAATAATATCAGCTATGAAAACAGAGACAGTCTTCCGTGCTGGCACTAAAAGAAGAAAAGGGACACCTATCCTATAATGCTTGATTTCTTCCTTTGGCATGTAAGAAACTATGTCACAGGAATGCTTTCAGAATTAAAAGCAGTGTTTTGACTGAGTTTTATTGGTCAAACACTACTATAACTGCAGATTTCAAATTCCTGAGTGATATTGTGCCCTGGGGGGGAAAAAGAAAAAGAAATAAGTTTGAGTAGCCCAGTTGCTTTTGTTTCTTCTGGTTTGATTTGCTTTAATATGTGATTGACGGACAGAGAATTTGGTAAGTTTAGTTTGGGTTTAAAAGAAATAAAACGTGTCATTTTTCACATCATTAATGAAAAATTACGTACATATTTACATCACTGTAGGTACTGCAAGTTGCTTAACTAATATCCATTCTCATCTTTATTTAGGACAAACCCAATTTTGTTCATAGTGGCAATGTGCCCCACTAAAACTGTTTTCCTCCCCCAGACTCCTCTAGTAGCTGGGATAACCATATGGTCATTTTGGCCAACAAGACGTAAACAGAAATTATTAGATATGGCTTCCAAGAAAGCTTTTATTTTCTTTTTTTTTAGTTTCAACATTTTTTTAATTTTTTTTTATTTTTTTTATTTTTTTATTGCATTTTAGGTTTTGGGGTACATGTGATGAACATGCAAGATTGTTGCATAGGTACACACATGGCAGTGTGCTTTGCTGCCTTCCGTCCCCTCACCTGTATCTGTCATTTCTCCCCATGCTATCTCTTCCCACCTCCCCAACCCCCCGCCCCTCCCCCATTTTCCCCCAACGGACCCC